GAAGCTTTATTTTGACACCGTATGCAAATTTAGGCGGAAGCAGAATGTTAATTATGTCCGAATTTTCTGGCCATGATCTTCAGCTTGTAGCTTCCAATTGGTATGGTAGATAGTAATGATAAGAAAATGGATTTGTCCACCAACTATATAATTATCATGCAGGCGACCCACTTAGTTCAAATCAGTACTTATACAAAATTGCTGTAATCTTGACTATTTTTAAATTATTGCATTGTATGTATCATAGCAACAGCCTAAATAAAATAATGCGTGACGATCGAAAATCAATCTAAATTTTTCGCTGGCCTAAATTGCCCAACCGTATTAATGGTGACCTTGCAGCTGTGACAGTCAAACCACTTCTTTACATAATTTAGCTATCATTTGGTCATTAAAAAGTGTCCCCAAAAAGCTTGTGCGCCCAAACTTGGAATTGGGATGCCTTCGATCCCAGGCTCTATATTTTGCACGACCACCGATACTATGAAAACTGAAGCTGCGCTAAAACATGCTTCTCTTGTGGCATTTGCACAGTAGGTTCACTTTTTGAAAAAATGGCCCTAAATACTATTATCACCTCGCCTATTGAATGAATATTCAAAGATGGAATCTCATCAAAGCTTGCGAACTACAGATATGCCGGCTACACCACTACGAAGATAATTTACATGAGCATTATTAACAGATCAACACATGCCGCAGTAATATTTACAACAGCTGCTTTCTTTCGATTTATACATATAATATGTGCATATATCGTGGTGCAAATTGCAAAAGCATTTCTAATCTTTTAACAAATACGACTACAACATCTTTCTCTCCACTCACGAGAAGATCGTTAAATTACACCTCCAGCCAGTGCCGTCGCTAGAAGCTTAATTGCATGGGGTGTACATATTCATCTATTCATGTTCGTGCAGTATACAACATGCCAGCCCACCCCCCCCCCTCCCCCTAATTAAGCACTGCACAGGTCTTATTTGAACATCTGTAACTAATTCACTCGTTCACATCTATCAAAATGATAAAATCGCACATAAAATCGCAGCAAAAATTGCAAGTGTAAACGGCCTTTAAAAGTCCTAATTTCTATACGATATTTGATTGTTTATTATTTATAGTAAGTTATCTTCAAGCCACGCGTTCCCATAAAGCTGAAAAGGCTTTTTTATAAGCTCTTAAGTACTTTCTATGTCTTAATGCATAAATAAAAGCGTTAGCAATCGAGTTGATGCCAACGACTTCCAGAGCAAAATGATATAAAATTAGACCCGAGGAATCCATGAGACACGAAAGACAGGTTGACCCGAGAATGAATATAACAAAATATGGAACAAAACAAATGGCCAGTACTCCGAATATAATAGCGAAAGTTTTTATTGCTTTAATCTGCTTCAAGAGCTCACGTAACCATGCTGAGGTGTGTTTTTGCTGCATTTGTACAGGATCTAGTTGTTCAAGCTGAATTTCAACCGGCCGTTCTTGTTCAGAATTCACCACGTTTCCTACAGCCATCGATTTTCTTTGTTGCTGAACGATCTTCAACATTTTGTAGTTGAGAATTCCTATGACAACAATGAGAACTGACAGAATTATGATTCTTGAAAGTGGAAATGGCATAACTGCTGCATTTGACCGTTCCTCCCTTTTCCATTCTCTTATGCCGTAAATATACACGATTGGAAACTGCACGGTGGCAGTTAACCAAATGACACAGAGAAGCGCTTTAATTCTTCGCGATGTTACGATGTAGTGGTATCGCAGAGGCTTTGCTATAAACACGTATCTATCAACGGTGATGGACAGTAACAGTATTGTTGAAAGGAATAGGGAGACATAATGAGTTGACTTGTTTAAACTGTTAAATACGCTGTGAAATTTCTTTTGATCTTGAAAGTATCGAGAAATCGTCTTTGGATAAATTGTGAGGCAGACCAAAAGATCAGCAATAGCAAGATTCGTTATCAGCCAGCTGCTAAGCGTTCGGTCGTTGTTCAGACATATGTTGTAAAAGATGACAGCCGCATTTCCAAGCACTCCAACAAAGAGAAAAATAAAACTGAGTATCATTAAGGTTAAGTTTATGGTACGAGTATATTCATGATCATTGTGGCGATGATCCATTCTTCTAAATTTCTTGTTCCTGTCGTCGAAGCCCCGGCTTGGTAGTAATGACAGTTCAGAAAAAAACATATCGTGAACATAATTGCGTTCACTCTTGATCGAAGCGGGATGCCACTTTGTACGCAAGAGTTTCAAGTGTTATTGTCATTGTGTATGTCATTGCACGGGTCTCGCTGTCTCGGTTATTGTGTATCGTAATGGAACCGGCACTGTTATACCGATAGCTGATTGTACAAAAGATATAAAGTAGGGCTAGCATCTACTAGGAAAAGAGGTTTTCAACTTTTAACGTAAATTAAGACTTCCATCATATGCTGAAAAGTATTTTGATGTTTTAAATTACGCCAGGCGCTTTTGGGCGGAATAATTTCACTGTTAACTATTCAAATTTCAAAACAAATATTAAATAAATTAACTACCGAAGCATGCAATTAAATGAAACATTTTCTCACTTTTTGAAGCAATTTCGGTGCAATGAACTAAAAAAAACAAAATAAAAACTTGTGGCACACATCGGCGAATTCAGTTTACAAACCTAAGAAACGAAATTAGCTAGCGAGAATTTCTACCTCCGTACTGTTCGATTTTCCATAAAGAAACGACGCAATAATTTTATATCAATCAGCAAGTCATGATAAATGAAACCTATTACTCGATTTTCATCTTTTCGTGGTTTTGGGGTTGAATTAGTTGAACGAATGAGCTGGGGAAAGCATATAAACTCAATATGCAAAACGTTGCCTCTAGTATTGGAATCATTAAAAGAGTTAAACCCTTTGTAACGCACGAAACTCTTCACAATTTGTACCGGGTGTCCCAGAAAAAAAGTACTCCGGTTTGATTCATAATAGCTTCTAAGCTAGCTAAGCTATTAAACTGAAATAACTTTCACTAGATAAAGGGAAAACTAACTTAGATTTTGATGTATTAAAGTTGTATTTTACATTTATTTACTGCTAATAGTGCATGTTTCAGTTGAGAAAAGCTTGATTAATATTTGATACGGCGTTTTTTGCATAATTTAGACACATCCAGAAAATTAATATGCAACCAATTTTGAACATTGATATCTCCGTAAATTCTTATATGTAAATACAACTGTAATACATATTCAAAATCTAAGTTAGTCTTCGCAATAAATGTCCTTCGCTTTATCCGTCTTCCATATTCCGTGAAGCCAACCTCGTACCTTGGCACGAAGAGCCTTTCGAATATCGCATTTGTGCTGTTCTTGACGACTTCGGTTATTCTTCCGGCTCTGGGGCTGTGTATAAATCGCCTGAATTATATTCCGGCATTACTCGATTTATCTAACGGACTTGGAAATGTCCCTTGGACCATAGAATGCAACCACTCAATAGCTGCACAGCTCGTATTGAGCGATGCTATTGAAATCTGTTTCTCCGAGAGTCTATGAAAATATAACGCGATGGTAACTGGATGGAAAGGTAAATTATAAAGTTACAATTCCTGTTTGTTTGCACCGCAACAAAAACCTTGTGACTGAAGTAACTTACGTCATTACATGCACTTGAATCAGCCCTCGATTTATAGCAACGACGTCAAGCAAGACGGTCAATTGTTGGCGAATAATAACTGGAGCTATCTGGAATGACTCATTCTTCAGCGGAGGCTCATGTGAAACGTGTTTTTAGAAGAGAAAAAAGAAAAAAGTCCAGTGCCTATAAGTGTTAGTTTTGTTGATACATGCAAGGCCAGGCATAGTCTACATGATCACCAAAATTAAATCTTATGGCAGCTATGTTGCGTTTATACCGTTTTGAGGCAATCAGTGGATTCTGCAGAATTCCTTCCTCAGCGTTGGAGAAGTTTTTATCCCGAAAAAATGTAGGAAGCAACAATAAACTTTTCATAGGTTTTAGTTACAAGTGACCAGTAATTAGCAATGGGCCAGTATGGCGCGGAAAGAGTTGTTTTAGCTCTTTGGCCATATTATGCAAATAATGGAACGCACGAGCGCAAGAGGACCAGCGCAACAAGAGGGACGACTAAGCAATTTTCGTTGCGTAGACTTTGTATGAAAAAATCAACTTCTGCGAAATTTGCATGGGTTCCAAAAAGGGAAAAAGAAACGTCCTTTATTTTACAGTGTTATTAATTTGCCATACAGTTTACCGTATTGCGGCCCAAAGCTTGTCTAGATTTTCGAAAAATATACATCAGTTATACTCATGTCGTCATGATCTACCAAGCGGCTCAAATAATCTGCCCTTGTATTATCTCCTTTGGATATCCATGCACTGTACGTCAATGCTGACGTTGTAAGCCAAACACAAATGAAATATTTGGAACGCAAGTTCGTGCAAATCTAACCTCATGCTTCTTGTTTTGACAACACTTTCGACTGCTTTATTGTCACTTTACCATTTTATATGCGGAGATGGTTAAAAGATAATAAATTATTTTAATGAAAATTTGATCGCAGAAAGCTCTGCATCCATACTGCACTCTTAGCACGCACGACTGAGGACCACATTTTATGACAAATTCCGCCTCCATCAAGTTTAATGACCGCGGCGCTTCCTATATCGCTGGTATCGGAGTGTGCGAACTATTTTGGTAGTCGAGTTAAAAACAGATTGTAGCTATACTCTGTGTTGCAAACAATAACAACAAATTGGCGATAATAAATTTTCTGTGCAATTTATTCAAATTATGTCGTAAATATCCATGTGTTTTACATGCATGCACGGTGCTACATACCTAATAGTATAACTAAACGATTGCAAGCATATATATCATATCTGCATGTATAATAATACTGTGCAAACAATACTGTTATTATAATATTGCTGGGTGAACAAATTCCAACTGTGGTTCCACTATGTTGTGCTAAATAATGCTCGCTTCTCAAGCTACTGTACAAGAATAAATCCAAAAGCCGGTGTGTTTTTGTTGTTTAGGTAAGTACAAATGGCGTTATTACCGCATGTCGTCATTCTTATTTCGTCATGACACCCAGCTGAGGTACCAAAACCAATGCACGAATCACAAGAAACACATTCATTTTCATTGTTTGCCACGACACCAATCCGGACGTGAATATAGCTTGAAAAATATCCTGATCCTGAGCCCACTTTGATATTAAATCCTTCTCTGTTACAATTTTCTTGTAAAGCTGAACCATTGATGAGAGATTTCCAAGTTTCCTTCCCGGCACTTGTGCTTTTGAAACTACCTTCTCCGATCACGTTGTATAACGAACTTGCGGCGTAGTCCAGCGCTATCCATCTGGTCTGATTATTGACTTTCATTCCGAGGCAAATCTTGCGGAACGGTGTGTTCCAGTAGGAAGCCAACTTTGTTTGTTTTTCTGTCAAGCCTTCCAGACCATCTTGTATTTTGTAGACTACCTTGTTGGTCCAATATGAAGAGTTATAGTTGAAATCATTCTAAAATTGAAATATTATAAAAAGTTATTTCCTCTTAATTAATAGTTCTGATGTTTGGCTTATCCGTACTTTTGACGGATTGTTGTAAAGGTTATTATCACCTTATTCCCATCAATTTTCATCACTAGGGTCCAGCCTCCTCCTCCACATCCAGATATCGGATTCATGTGACAATAAACATCATATTCGTCGAGCGTGATATTATTTTCTGCCATGTAAACACCGTTGGTATGTGAACTAAATAGTTGAGTGATAAAATATGAATAAGAGTAAGATTAGAAGAATATGACTTAGTCGTTTCACGTGCAATCTTTGATATACAAACAGGGTGGTTTAAGGGCATTATAAAAGTGTCTATTATTTCTTTGGCGTTTTCCCAAGCGCTGGACAAACCTACACTCCTGAAATGGGTAAAACACTCCAATAAAACACATACACGGTGATTTTTGCAAAATATTTTAACAATATTTGATTGCTGAAGGAAGTTCATATTTTTCACAACACTTACGCGATTTTTCATGCTTTTATACAAGGTCCCAGAAAAAAGTTACGCTATAGAAATCATCCTATTCTCATAATTTTTATGCCTACACGCTATAGTGCTTAATCCACAAATGCAAAGAAATCAAGCCATCAGTTTCTTAAATTTCAAATTACTCCTGTTACAATGAAAGTCTTCTTACAATAAAATCATGCGGGTTCAACTGAAAAAGCGTCAGTGACATAAAACAGTTGTCCATAACACAGTAGAATTTCATCAAATTCCCTTGTGAATAAACCCGTGCTTAAGAGGGGTTTAAGAGCAATGAGATAATTTCATTATTGTCATTGTTTTTGCATGGGAAACACTGTAGATAGGCAGGAGAATAATTGTTGATGATTTGCATTATCGTAGCCAGCTTGGCGATGTAGCCCAATTATGCTAATATTTTAGTTCGCATCGACTGTTGAAACCATGAATTTTTAAAGAAATGAACATCTATCAATAACCTGAAATTTGCGTTGAACTTTTATTTTGCAAGAAAGGCTGCTTATAACCTACTTACCACTGTACAAACACACGTAAAAATCTAAAGCTTATAAAAATTATATTTGAAAAACAAGTTTAATAAATGGAAAGAACTTAGTTTACCACCTATTTCAGTATGCATTTGTTGACCCATTTGTGAAATAACAACAATTTGGAAGCATATAAAATCTTCTGCACGTAAAAGTTTAAAATAATTTAAATCATACTTTTGAAATCAAGGACTGAATACTAGATGCATAGGGTTGGATTCTTTTGATGATTTGGTGTGTTTTTATTGGCGTAAAAATATTTATACAACAATATAAGAAGGTTTTAGAGATTTTACGTGCGTGTACTTGCGTACAAAAAACGCTACAGTGGAAAACAGGCCTAACGCATTTAACCTCATCAAGACTTTTAAACCCAAGGCGTAAATTAGAACTTGGAAATTCTCGTACCTGTTCCTTTCTAATATTTCTTTACACGACCCTGCCTTACTGGGCTCTACGAAATAAAAGATTAAGATTTAAGAAATAGAAAACATTTTACGTGTTTCTATAGAGTTATAGAAATTATAAACATGCCTGCGCGGATGTTTAAGCGAACGAGAAATAATCCAAGTGAATGAAATCAATAAATATAAATAATTTCTCTTCTAAAGAAACAGTAATACTATATATAGGCTACCATACGATTCCTTTGCGCTATCTTCTACATTCATTTTCATCATTTTAGTTAGTGTATAGTATTATTAAACTAATGGAAAGGCTTACTTGTTGATTGTTTTGTCGGAGAGTTTGAGAAGGAAGAATCCACTGCCTATCAACAACAAGAGAAATATTAATTGAAATGTAAATTAAACGAGTCTCACATTCACGATGTGCATGTTACAAACTGCAGTTTGAATGAGTTTACAGGCAATTTAACTGTCATCGATTTTTTCTTTGTATTAATTTTAATTTAGTTACTAATCTTTCATACCAATATATAAAATTAATATTGAAATATATCGGCCGCCTAAAAGAGATGTAACTATTTTTTTAATATTTACACTGAATTTCGTTGTCTTCTCTTTGTACATGAGTAACTCAATTGCGTGTACAAAATCTTCAGTTCCCAAAATTACCGATGATACTTGCGTATAGTTTTTTCGTTTCATGTTTTGTCAAATTATCTTTCGATCTAAGCAAAGATAACGTACTGGAGACATACTTACAAGATGATTGAATTCAGGGTTTGTTTCCTCATCGACATCGGATGTTTCTTGAGTCTTCCTTTTGTTTAGCTCACACAGACCTTTACCAATTCCAGACGTTTTATAATTAACAGACGCACACGATTCATGTCCAACGCAATGCAAACCGCATTCCAACTCCGAATCTGCTTGTTTTCGTTCGATGACATGATTCGCCAAGAATCGTTTCTCGTGTCTGTGGAAAATGGCTTGTTGAAGTTGCTGAGTTGCTGGTCCGCTGCGTGCTAGCGCCATTTTTGAGACAAACATGAATGTCAAAATTATTTTTATTTTGTTCGCCATTGCATAAAAATCTTACGAATATCCCTGCATCAAATTGTCACCTCTTATCACAAGCAGCTGGTGAGGAAAACTTCCGTCAAAGCACAGTGTCAAAGTGAGTTGTGTGCAGCGTATGCATGTTACAGATGTGATTGTGTTGATGAAATTACATAATCATGTTCCTGTTTAGCTTAATTGGATTCATTGACCAATCAAAATCATGTTTTTCTCTCGTAGCCAAAGCATAACCAAAGCAAAGCCTAGTTAATATTCTATTCACCTTGTTTAGCACGTTTTTAGCAGATGTTATATTCAACAGTTATTTAATTATTTGCCATATCAATTTTTAACACTTTCAATTTTTTACGTTTTTTCAAAGATAATATACTATAAGGATTTAGACTTTTACGTATAAGGATTTAGAATTTTACGTGCGTGTAACTGCATATTTCTGAAAAAACGCGTAACTGGAAAGCAGCCTTAAGGTTTCCTCTGTTGTAGTTAATGTACATCGAAATCTACTTCGCGTGTGAAATCTACTCAAGGTGTGAGACATTTTTTGTTTTGAGTATTTTTTTTAAAAAAAACAATTGCAATATAAGATTAGTTGGATACAATTAGTTGCATACGATTGTATATGTTGCATACGATTGTATATTGCATATGTTGATTCGCGAACCGTCGGAAACTACTATCCGCCATTACCGTTGAATCAGTTTGTGAATATTTGCGATCTTTTGGGCAAAAAATACCGCTTATTTTCGTAAATGCACGAACAACTAAAGATTTAGCCAACTTTTAGAGCTAAGCGAAGGGATAAATGGCTATTTTGTGCTGGGATTCCTGGGAATACAAGTGGGAAAGGTCCTAAAAGCCAAATTCGCTAAACTAAAGGAGCGGGATTTTATACAAAATTGAAGGTGGTGTCTCCATTTAATAGTTCCATTTTTCACTCATGAAACTTTAGAAAATATAATTGCTTGTAGCGGAAGCATTGAAACAATTTTGTCGTGCGTTTATCAATACATACTGCGTTTGTCTTTAAAAACGCTAAAATATCGTCAACAATTTTAATATAACTGAAGAATACAAGCAGGTTAAACGTTGGGGAAATGGCTTTGAATGTTCAGGAATTGGTTTTATATACTATTATATAAATATTAACTATCACTACGATAAAATGTGCCCGTGCGCAGGCAACCATAACATTGGGCTGCCTATGTTCATGCAATCGCCATTCGCAATAAACAAAACATTGTTATGCGTTTTGCAAATCCTTATGCACTCTTTGAGTGCCTAATTTTATTACGGTCGCGCGAGCACAAAAGGCTCCAATAATCTGCTTATGCTGCTCTGAGTATTTACTATACATATTAAAAACGTGCTCTTGCTCATTCTAAGTTGTATTGCAAAGTGTTTCATACTAATCTTGTATAATATATTTTAAACATGATTGCGTCAGCTATACTTCAAGTAATGCGAATTAATTTTATTTTATGTTTTTTATATTATTCATTTCTTTAGAATTCATTGTTTTCACAGTCAATGATCACCAAAATATTAACATAGCATGTGAATCAATTGTGCGGGTTCCTGTTTTACTGGGACAGCCCTCAAGAAAACGAAAGCTATTGTGATCAATTGTTAAAATTTGAATGCTGTGTTGACGAATTTTAGCCCGTGGGGATTTGATACAACTTATAAAATGCTAAATACGAAAAATTTGAAATTGTGGATTAAATTTAAATTAGCCTTGTTATTGCTTCGAAAATAAATAGTACAGCTGACCGCGGAACAACGAGTGTTTATTGTGATATTATCCCAACAGAGTGCTTAGACATTAAAACTTTAACAATTACATTGTTATGGGTGATTTCAATAGTTTTCAGGTTTTTTTCAACATCCTGTATAATAACCCTCAAAATTCATTTTCTTTAATCTCGGCTAAGCGGGATCATGCAACTGATGCGAGATCCTTAAAAAGCTATCTTGCATAATAGCTTTAAATGGGTTCACATAAACACTTGCAATGTTCTTATTCACATCCTTAAACCAAACATAAAATATTGAAGCAGAAAATAGAGCTGATGGATAGGAATCTTAGTGATCCCGGGCAGATTTGTTTCTTATAAAACACTCATATACACTCACTTATTAATAGACACTCCCCAAATTTGTTCTCGGGCAATGAAAACCATCCCATAAACAATTGAAAACAAAAAATTTCATGGCATGGGAAGTGTGTCTATTCTCTCTAGAATATGAAAGCCCCTTGTCATAACTAACAGTTCAACAAGTTGTTTAGTCTTTCTTCGACATAAATCTCCTTAGCCATATCCGTTTTCCATCTTCCGTACGTGAAGCAGTTCAAGAGCCTTTCGCATATCGCATTTGTATTGTTCTTGACAACTTCGGTTATTCCTCCAATAGCTGTATTTTTAGCGTTTTGTTGTGTGCACAGACCATACCGCAGTTTATTATAAACTCACGAAGCTTTATTTTGACACCGTATGCAAATTTAGGCGGAATCTATGAACATCAGCTTGTAGCCTCCTATGGCCTATATTCTGCTCATCAAAATAAATCTTTTGGCAGCTATGTTACCTTTAAACTGGTTTGAGCCGATCAGTGAATTCTGCAAAATTCCTTCGTCAGTGTTGGGGAAATTATTTTCCGGAAAAACTAGAATAATTTTTTGGTAGGTTTTAGTTACAAGTGGCGAGTTATTAGCAGACGTCCAATGTGGCGCAACAAGAGTTGCTTTAGCTCTTTGGGCATATTATGTAAATAATGAAACCCAGGAGAGACGAGCGAGCGCAACAGGAGGGGCAACTAAGCAATAGACGGAAATCATTTCTGACCGGCCGAGGTTACTGACCGTAAATTGCACCCGGGACAGTTTTTTTGGTTTATAATGGATAGAACTGTAGCGAACCATAATAGTGTTAAATATTTCTACGGAGAAGAACTTGCTGCGTATAACCGAGAACTCGCCTTCTTAAAGACATAATCGACATGAGGATATCCCACGGTTAGTCCGCAGATAATATTAAAGCCAGCAATTTAAATGCCCGATACTCTTTCCACAACGTTCCAGCGACTTACAACGGTGGGGTATTAGAATGTAAGCCACACTTCAAAAAGGAAACGAACATTTCTTTATCTTTTTTGGGATTTGTTGATTGAGAGACATCCGCCGGAATATTGTATTGACTTTGAAAATTAAATCCCCAGTAGTTTTCTTATGAAATTTAAACTACAACTTATCGAAATCTAACTGAGTTAGTCTTTCCTGTAACTATAGTGAACTGACTTGTTTTAAAAAGCTGCTCATGACCAGAAATGCAGGCCGGTAAGAGGTGTGCGGGCATATGCAGTTCAGTTTTCAGCTCATTATTCTGATCAGTGTCGCTCAATTCGAGAAAGACAATATGGCGGATGTGTTTATTTTACCAACAAACTACACAATCTATTACGGATGCAACCAGATTATAAACAAACACAGTTTAAAAATTGGTATAGTAGCTAGTAATATAAGAAAATGGATATGTCCACCAACTATATAACATGCAGGCGACTCAATTAGTTCAACTACTTATACAATATTGTTGTAATGTTGACTATTTTTAAGCTATTGCATTGTATCATGGCAACAGCTAAAATAAAGTAATGCATGACGATCGAAAATCAATATCAGTCCAAATTTCCGCTGGCCCACATGGCCCAACCGTACTCAGTATGGTAACCTTGCAGCTGTGACAGTCAAACCACATAATTTAGCTGTCATCTGATCATCATAAAGTGTCCCCAAAAAGCTTGTGCCCCTAAACTTGCAATTGCGATGCCTCCGATCCCAGGCCCTATATTTTGCACGACCACCGATACTATGAAAACTGAAGCTGCGCTAAAACATCTTCTTATGTAGCATTTGCACAGTAGGTTCACTTTTTGAAATAATGGCACTAAATAGTATTATCACCTGGCCTTTTGAATGAATACTCAAAAATGGAATCTCGTCAAAGCTTGCGAACAACAGATATGCCGGCTACACTGCTACGAAAGTATTAACATGAGCATTATTGACAAGCACATAAACACAAGCAGAAGTAATTACAACAGCTGCTTGCTCTCGATTGATATAATATGTGCATATATCGTGGTGCAAATTGCAAAAGAATTTCTAATCTTTTGACAAAAGAGAACTACAACATCTTTCTCTCCACACACAAGAAAATATACAAACTCAAGCCAGGGCCGTCACAGTCGCTAGAAGCTTAATTGGGGTGTACATATTCATCTACTCATGTTGGCACAGTATACAACTTTGAACACCAGCAACTAATTCACTCGTTTACATCTAACAAAATGATAAAATCGTAGCAAAAATTACAAGTGTAAGCGGGCCCTAATTTCTATACGATAGTTAATTTTTTATTATTCATAATAAGTTATCTTCTAGCCACGCGTTTCCATGAAGCTGAAAGGACTTTTTTATGAGCTCTTAAGTACTTTCTATGTCTTAATGCATAAATAAAGGCGTTAGCAATCGAGTTGATGCCAACAACTTCCAGAGCAAAATGATATAAAATTCGATTCGACTTGTAATCCAGGGAACACGAATAACAGGTTGATTTGATGATGAATACAACAAAATATGGAACAAAACAAATGGTCAGTACTCCGAATATAATAGCGACAGTTTTCACTGCTTTAATCTGCTTCAAGAGCTGACATAACCATGCTGGGGTGTGTTTTTGCTGCATTTGTACAGGATCTGGTTGTTCAAGCTGAATTTCAACCGGCCTTTCTTGTTCAGAATTCACCACGTTTCCTACAGCGATCGATTTTTTTTGTTGTTGAACGATCTTTAACATTTTGTAGTTGAGGATTCCTATGACAACAATGAGAACTAACAGAATTATGATTCTTGAAAGTCGAAATGGCACAACTGCTGTATTTGACCGTTTCTCCCTTCGCCATTCTCTTTCGCAGTAAGTATACACGATTGGAAACTGCACGGCGGCAGTTAACCAAATGACACAGAGAAGCGCCTTAATTCTTCTCCATGTTACGATGTAGTGGTACCGCAGAGGCTTTGCTATAAACACGTATCTATCAACGGTGATGGACAGTAACAGTGTCGTTGAAAGGAATAGGGAGACATAATGAGTTGACTGGTCTAACTTGTTGAATACGCTGTCAAATGCAATTTCCCTTAGAAAGTATCGAGAAATCGTCTTTGGATAGATTGTGAGGCAGACCAAAAGATCAGCAATAGCAAGATTCGTTACCAGCCAGCTGCTAAGTGTTCGCTCGTTGTTCAGACATATGTTGTATAAGATGACAGCCGCATTTCCCAGCACTCCAACAAAGAGAAAAATAAAACTGAGTATCATTAAGATGAAGCAGATAGATCGAAAATACTCATGATCACGACCATCGTTTATGGTATGAGTATAATTATTCATGGTCATTGTGGCGGGGATCCATTCTTCTAAATTCCGTGTTCCTCTCGTCGAAGCCCCGGCTTAGTAGTAATGACAGTTCAGACAAAACATATGGTGAACATTATTGCGTTTACTCTTGATCGAAGCGGGACGCCACTTTGTACGCAAGAGTTTCAAGTGTTATTGTCATTGTGTATGTCATTACGATCTTATTGTGGATCGTAATGGGACACTGTCAATACCGATAGCTGATTGTACAAAAGATATAAAATAGGGCTAGCATCTACTGGGAAACGAGGTTTTCAACTTATAACGTAAATTAAGACTTCCATCATATGCTGAATAGTATTTTGATGTTTTAAATTACGCAAGGCGCTTTTGGGCGGGAAAATTTCACTGTTAAATGTTCAAAACGAATAATAATTAAATTATACTACCAAAGCAATTAAATGAAACACTTTCTCACTTTTTGAAGCAATTTCCGGTGCGACGAACTAAAAAAACGTTTGATTTGGCTTTGTTGTTACTGTTGCTTGGTATACTATGTTCCTTGTCAAGCATGCGCCATTGAGCGGGCATTCATTCTTTTTTCTACAGTTGCAATGTTTTCTCGGTGCAGTCTTAGTAGATCTTAGCACTTTGTTGTTGTGGCGTTTTATGATGCTTGCCATGTTGCCCATGCAGCTGTAATTGACCTTGATGTTGCTTCTGTTGAAAATTGTGTGAGGTGGGGGCTCGCGTTGAAATGTTGGTCAATAAGCTGTAAGAACGTTTTGCCGACATTCGTGGGGGTGAATTATGTTTCGGCTTCGGTTTGTGTTTCTAAGGAAGAACTAACACTCACAACAAATTACAACCAACCAAATATGTATATATATTGCAAAAAATGTTCTTCGTGTTTACCATACTCACCTTGACGCGCATATATTCAAACCTAAGAATGTAAATTTGTCCTTTTCCCTCACCAGCTCACTCATTACGAGTGCCTAGGCCTTGGGACCTTAGGTGGTGGTTTAAAAAGAAAAGGAAACACACACACAACCCAAGCCATACATCCATGCACCCGTCCAAAGCGTTAATAAGCTGCAATGTGGGAGATCGATCGTATTATATCAGTGCGAATATGGCTTGGGTTGTGTGTGTGTTCCTTAGCAAATTTTTGCTTAATATAAGTAAAAGAGGATAAATATTCTTACTTCTTTTTTTATATTCTTAAGTCAGAAGCATTTCTTAAAATAAGCAAAGCTCCATGAAAAAGATTTGTTATTTGTTTATATCTTTTTTTTCATATATGCAGAAATGAAGGTTTTAATGCATGCCAGCCTATTTAAACATTCTGAATGGACTTTGTTTATAAGGAAAATAATTTAAATTCGGTAACTGGCGCAAGGCACTGTGGATAGGATTGCACCGCGCTCTCGGTGCGTGTCGGGATAGCGTCGCTTCGCATGTTGTTGTTTGTTCCTTTAATTGCGAAGCATAAATCGACAAGTATTTTGAATAGTTTATTGGAAATTATATTAAATTTTATCATGCAAAGAAAGACGTGACAGAAAACTGTTATAGAGAAGCAGCTCGCTTGTTTATACAGTGGTTACTGTTGGAGGGGAATTTGTGTAAGTAATGTAATATTTTATATACTATACGCTCATTCCACAATGCCATATAATTTAATATAATATTATATATAAATTACAGAACGAACGAACTGAAATTAAAGAAATTTAACATGTTTGCTATGACGATTATATAAGAACTCTAAATATAACATTACTATAAAAACTTTAACTGCAACAGAGCAAGTGAATTTCTTTTACAGAATACAGAAACTCTAAACGTAGCTATATTTTATAAATGCGACAGGTATCTATGTTTATTGTGATTATCAACATTGCTGTCGGTTGCAATGCTGTCGGTTGCCATAAGACTAACTTTTGGTTTTGGCGACGGAAATGGAATTTCCGAAAAAGGCATAATAAACTTAGTAAAACTTGGCAAGTTTGACTTCGAAATATTGTAAAGTACAAAAAATATAACCATACGAAGTTGGGAAATTTTGTATATTTTTGTATTATGGCCGGAAGTGTCTAACTAATTAGTTGCACACTTCCGCCTCGGCCGGTAATACAAAAGTATACAAAAATTGTCTATTCGCGAATAACTACATATATTTTCCGCAGAACTTGATATTTTGCAGACGAACTTAGCAATTATACAAATTTCAGTATGAACTTTTTAGATGATTAGTGATATATTTCCTTCTTGCATGTTACCTGGATCAAAAGTTGGTCTATTATTCGCAGTGGACTTGCTATGCAGTGTTTTCTTACTTTAGTGTTGAATTTTAGTTTGAATTGACCCCTGCTTCATGTGAAAAAACTAAGGATAGAGGTCAACCAGGGTCATCGTAAGGCCGCCTATTTTCCAAAATCTGCAATTATGTGTTAGGCAACGGGTAGTTCTAAAGCCTGACAACCTTGTCCTTAAACATTTTATTAGAAAACATGCATGCAGTATATTTCCCATTTAAATCAATTAACATAATTTACATTCCTTCGCAGTGGGAGATTAGGGAGAGAGCAGTTCAGTTTATAAACATGATACGTATAAGCTGTATAGTTTTAAATATTTTAATGTTTTAGCAAACCTATTTAAATTTTTTTTGCGAAATTTGTCTTTAAACATATATACGTTGTGAAATAACAACTTTTTCCCATTACAAATTAATTTATTTGAACGAAATTATAGCCTATAGTATAATAAAACAAGACGCCTGGGCAGGCGTACACTCCGGCTAGGGCACAGGTGGCATACCATATACATGCGTCCGTCAAAATAACGAGACCGGGCAGGGGTTTATGATGCCTGAGAGCAGTATTGTTCTTTCTTGAGGGCAAAATTTAGCTGTTGCTACCAATATTATTTTAATAGATGAGCTATAAAACGGAGACAACAATGATACGTGACATCTGTAGAGTTTTAATGGCTTAGAGTTCCAATGTAAAATTTCCACACATTGTTAAAGCTTGTTCAGTTCGTTTATCTTCCACCAAATATCAAGTTAATAAACAGGCACAGCCTGTATACAGTATATAAAATCGAAGTTACTGTATATGATGCATATACAACCTGCGAAGCTACAATATTCACCAATGATCTAACGACTGATTGCGCCAAAATCCTGCGAGTAAAACCCGACCCACTACGAGTGCTGATAACTGATGGTGCTAATGCCAATGAAAACAGTCGCAGTATTTGATGGAAAAACCAAAATTTAAATCCTTTATAGTTTATAATCCACGGCCATTTTGACGTGAGACCGTGAACCGTTCGAGGAAAAAAGCGGTTAACTCCATGAACGTAGGTCGCATTTGTGACGCCCAAAACTTCCGACTGCTGGTGTTTTAAGACTCCGGCGTACCTACGGTAGCGCAGTAATTATGCACTTAATGTATGCTCCCGAGAAAAATAATGAGTTGGGTTTTCCCAAGAGTCTGAATGTTTCCCAAGACAAAGTCGTGGGAAACATTGAGACTCGAGGGAAAACGAAACTCACTATTTTCCGAGGTAGTGTACATTAAGTGCTTTGTTATAATAGGAACAAAAACATACATGTTACACAACAATTTAATTAAAAAAAACATTTTACTTTGTTATAACAAGAAGCGGGCAACAATTTTTCACTTGTTTCCCTTTCGGGAAACATTGCATTTATTTAAAGTCGTGTGACTACGAATGAACCAATCACATTTAAAATACACAGAACCTATATCAATAATACACTTAATGCAGGCTCCCGAAATAGTGAGTTTCGTTTTCCCAAGAGTCTGAATGTTTCCCGAGACGAAGTCGAGGTCTTTTGTTATATAGGAACAATAACATTCATGTAACACAACAATTTCATTTAAAAAAAACACTTTACTTTGTTATGACAAGAAGCGGGTAACAATTTTCACTTGTTTCCCTAGCGGGATACATATTAGCATTGCCTAGGCACTTGCAATGTATAACAAAAGCTATTTATCTCCTAAGTGCCACGGCTTGCATGCACGGACGCCATGACACAAAATTAATAAAGAAGTACTATTCAAAAGCCACATTTTGACAAATAAGTTTTGACAAATACATTCAGTTGACAAATTTTCCATAAGTCTGGAAATACGACAGAACGCGAGAACGAGGCTCACGGTATTGGCCCCTGAGCCCTTGGCCGTTCTCGTGTTATGCCTTATTTCCACATTTATTGGTCAAAATAAAAAAAATATTTTTGATACATCATACACATTGTATTGTACTTTTTACACAAGACGAGAATATCTTGCGGTCTTTATAGGAGTCCGTGAACAATGAATAACCGGAATAAAATCAAACCTGTCCCTGCGTTAGGTCATGAGAATCTATATAATTATATTGAAAATGCATGAGTTGATCAGGCTTGATGTACTGCCATTTGAGTTTTTTATTATATTATTAGCCCCGAGATTTGGAGTTACATCTCCATAATTAAAAATTAAATAATTAAAAAATGTGGCCATTCCTAAGCGCGATTCACCGCCCGTGTTTAACTATGCCCTGGTGTGAGATACTAATCCTGCTGGCGTATTAGGAGTTGCATCCCGTTCGTATTGTGACATAACATAATAACGCTATCCAAAGGCCTCCAACCACACTACCCTTTTTTATGTAATATAATGTAATGTAATGAGAATTGGTAATTGAATCGAATTATGATATTTGTACAAAATCTTTTTCTCGACTCTCGAGTTTTATTATAAAAGAAATAGAAAACATTTTTTCTTGTGTTTGTATACAGTTATAGAAACACTAGTGGGATTATCTCGCATACTTCCACGCGTGTTTCTATAACTGTATAGAAACACGAAAAAGGTTTTCTATTTCTTAAATTTACATAGATAGGATTTTATAGCGCATCTGAACATTTTCATGCTAATTTGCGCTCAACAAATTCATATTAACAAGACGCCTGCTCAAGGCGTTCACTCCGCCTGCATGCCAACTGATGTACA